ATAGTAATTCATCTTCATTCATATTAAAATCTGAAATTTATTTTTTACAATTTTATAATTCTTTTTATTATTATTTAAATTACTGAAAAAGAAAAATATAATACTTACCATTATCTGTAGTTTCTTCTACCCATGCATACTTTTCCAAAACTTGTGCTAAAGAAGGTGCCAATCTTTGTGGTGATGGTTGAAGTATAAGTAATAACAGTACTCTAGTTATTTCACATCTATATATTTAATTATTTAATTAATTAATTTTTTATGTATCAATAAAATTTTATATTTTTAATTATATTTAATACCTGTGTAATATAATATTATAGTTTCCTTTTGCACCAGCATTAATATAACTTTCAACAAATTCAACAAAATCATTTAAAATTTGTAAAGCAGATACATAATCACCTGGTGAAATATTATGTACTATATAATACATATATATATAATGCTATATATAATATATAATATATAAACCAATCAATCAACAATAATTATTTAAATAAATATTTACCTTGTTTAATATGATATGATGCTAATGTATTAATAGCTTTTATAGTTGGAAAAATGTCAATCGCTTTACATAATTGTTGTATACCAGCTGGAGTAGGACCTAAAGCTAATGCTAATTCTAATGCTAAACCAGCTGACATAGTATTGAATCCTGGTTGATTATAACAATGTGTTAAAGCTTGACCAAAACAATTTACTGCAGCCTAATATAAAAATTTATAAAATTTTAAAAATTATACATAATTATATTTTATATTGTAATATAAAAAATTATAAATTATAAAAATAATAAACCTGTATATTTTCTTGTCCTATAGAAGAACATCCTATGTTTTTATCTTTTTTATCAGCCATAAGAAATTCTCGACCAGCTTTTATTAAAAAGTTTAATTCAGAAAAGGTATTTTCTAATGTTTCTTGACATCTAGCTGCAGCTAATAAACATAAACCTGCATATTGCCATAATTCTTTTTGTTCACATTCAATTGCCAATATTCCTAAAAAATAACATTATAATTTTTATAATATTAATAATATTATATCTTTTTTATCTTTTTAAGAATACATATCATATCATATAACATACCAAATTGATCACTTGCTTCAGCAACATTTGGTTTTCTTAAAAATCGTCTAAAATTAAATTTAAATAAGAATAAATTATAATATATTATGTGTATTAATAATAATTTTATTATAAATAATGGATTATTTTATAAAAAAAAAAATATATAATAGAATACTCACTTCTTTAGTTTATTCGATATATTATGATACTTTGTTAAAAAGTCTAATGAATCTCCCATCTTTTTAATTTGAATATGTCGTTTTTTTATTAATTAATTTTTTTAGTATCGCATTTTTTTTCTAAAGATATTTTTATAATTGGTTATACTATTATTGCTTTTAGACATTGTCTTTTTAATGTATTATAGCAAATATAATTATATAATAATATAATGCTATATTAAGCAATTGAATTAATTCTATTTTATTCATTTTACTTAATATTATTTTTTCATTTTCCAAATTTAATAATAATAGACATTTAAATTATATAAATTCTAAAATATATTAATTTTGTTATTTTAACTTATTCTTAATTTTTCTATATATTTATATATATATATTATATAAATTGATTAATGTATTATATACCGAAC